CTAATCGTCACGTATATTTTGGGATATTTTGAAAATCACATTTAAGAAGAAGGATTTTTTATTTCATTTTAATATTTCTTAAGGGAAATTTAAGAATGGTCTTCGAGATTTATGTTTTCGTTTTAAATAATAATAAATGAAAGAGAGAATGTACCCAATGAGAAAATTTTGTTTTATTCTTATGTCATTTTTAATGGATAATTTAAATGTATACCTATATAAGGGCAATATCTAAATATTTACAAAAAAAAAAATAAAGTTACCTTATTGTTAAAGAAGTATTCGAGTGATACTATCAATATTGGCCGTTCTGTAAAACAAATGCGTTTCTTTATTCAAAAACAATTTTTGGTCTATAGCCTATAGGACTTTATAATTTTTAAGGCCTCTAAAACTTATGTACGATTTAACGATAAAGTTCTAGTATGTGACGAACGGGCTTAAATTCAACACTTTAATAATGCTCACAAAATTTGAATAATTTTTAACCTATAGAATGCACAATCTTTTCTTCTATATTGATTATTTGTTTCTCATCTTCAACCCATACAATATGTACATAATATATAAACAAAGTAAAACACTGTGATGAAGTGTTTATAAAGAGAGAACATTTTCAATTCAAAACTGTCAACATTTTCATCATTCTTGATTTACAAAAAGAAAAAAGAGAAAAACAAGCAAAAATGGAGAAATAAAATTTTGCTGATTCAAAAATTTTTCATTAATTTTTAAAAAAATTTTCTCTTTTCCTATATCTCTTTAAAATATTTATGAGAAATTGGGCCCATTTTAAGTTAGATGAAACCTCAAAAAAAAAAATGAAAAAAGATTTTATAGCACATTGAGTAAAAATTATAGAAAACAAATTTCTGTAAGGATAAATTGTTCAAAATTTATTCAATTACTCGGAAAAAAATCCATCCTAAGGGAAGGCTGTTTTTTGTTTTTTGTAGGTCACATAAAGAATATGTATGTAATGAGAATAGTACAATTTGTAAATATTTTTATGTGTTTAAGAAAAACAAAGAACAAAAAAAAGTATTCTGTCCTTTTCAGGATAATTTATTAATATAAGTTTATTGGCCAGAACCTAGACTTTTCTTCTCTATATGAAATTTGTAGTTCAAATGCCACAAATTGTTGAGTTGTTTTCTCATTATTTATTTTGATAATTAAATTATGATTTGAGTTTTTGTGGGTTAGTTTATTAAGATGGTTGTGTTGGGTATGTAAAAGCAATAATGTGAGAATTTGAGTTTTTTTGGAATGTTATAAAACAGTTTTTGTTTATAAGTCAAATTATTTATTAATTAACATGTTTTCCAATTCCTAATGTTCTCTTTTTTTGAATAAAGAGAAAATTTATTTATTTTTTTGTTAATTATGGGGGAAACTGATTATCATTTTGTAAATTAAGCGTAAATGTTAATTCGATTTTAAGAATGCGGTCCCTTCTTGCTTAATTACCATTATAATCAATTTTGTAAAACTGTTCTAATTTGAAGAAATTGCAAGTAAAACAGTTCTTTTTGATTATCGACCTATTTTTGGTTTTTTTTTTTTAATTTGTAACAAATGTTCTGGTATGAATAAAATCGTCTTTTACCATTCCTTGAATTTTAATTAAATAACAGATCTATATAGAATCTAAATTGCGGTGATTTTAGAATTTTATTTACAATGTAATAAACAGATTTTAAAAAAATACACACCATCGCACTATAATTAACTTACATCCCCCTTTTATAATATATAGTTTACACTAGACATTCATACAAAAATAAAAAAATTCAAATTTAGTTGAGAACTATTCGAACGAGTAATGAGTAACACAAATTCACAACAAATTTTGATTTTCATAATTTCTTTAAAAAAAATAAATAAAAAATTTTGTTAAGTCTAGCCATGGAATATTTTAAAAGTATGTATATACATGTAACTAGAATGTTTACAGACTGATAAATGAAAACCATAAATATTAATTGCAAATAAATTGGTGCCTAAATTTACTTGGGATTATTGTTAGATTACAGATTTAACAGGCTTACATCGGACTTGTGTTGATCCTTTTATAACATGATAAGAAAAACCTCTAATTTTGCTAAAAAAGAAATTCTTTTAATGTTGTAATAATCGATTTTTAAATCGTGATAAGTTATCGAAGTCATTGTGCTTTTTAAATGGTTATATAGAGAACAAGATGAGTTTTTTTGACTCTGTTCATGCTTTTTCATGTCTTTTAATTTGATTTTGATAGCATGTAACAAAAGCTAAAAATTTTTAAGATTGATTTATTTTTAATGAATTTTTAGTTGCGTTTCAATATGGGAAATACAAGCACCAAAATACCACATATGTACTTACATATGAAAAAAAAATCTTAAATATCCAAATTTCGTGCTGATTGGTCTTCTAGTTTATTTTTTTTCCTTTGTAATCTTTATTGAACAATTTCCAATTAATTACCAAATAAATAATAATATGCAATTTATCATATACAACAACAAAAAAAAATACTTAGTATGTACGTACTATTAAAAAAATATATAATATCGATTCGAGCTAACCAATCTGTTCTCATTCAATTAAGTTAAGTAGAAAATTATACGACCCATTTAAAGGATAATTTCAATTATAAAACAAAGCATAGAAATAGCACTTAAGTGAATTTGCATGTTTAAATTTTGCTTGATGTACAAAAATGAATATTTTAGAAAAATTTATTTTTTTAATATATTTGATTAAATTAAATTAAATTAGAGAGGAAAATTGAAGAAATAATTTTATACAAACAGAAAAAAAAAGTGTGAGCTGTAAAATATTCTAAAGTTTATGTGGAAATTAGATGGATTGAGTGTCATTAATTTTAAATTAAATTTGAAATAAAATTTGAATAATGTTACGATAAAGTCTGAAGCTAAATATTAAATACGTTAGATTGGATGAAGAGATTGCTGGAGGCTATAAAGATAAAAATAAATATTTTAAAATTCTTTGTGTCTTCAAAAATTTTGAATAAAAATTGAGATGTTAGTTAATTGTTTTAATTCATCTTGAGATAGTTTCCACCATTTTATGACGCGCATAATAGTTCATATCAGCAAGTTAATCGTCAAAGTGTAAAATGTGAATAGATTTCGTTAAAGAATTGTATTTACGGTAACGAAACGAAATAAACGTAAACAAATGTTTTTACAAACAATTCAAAATGATATGAGTCTGTGAAATGATGACTTGTTGTGAAAAATTGAAAAATTTTTTTCTAATTCCATAGTGAGAACTTTAATACTTCAAAATTGCTATAATTATTCTAAAAATTGCGAATTGCTAAAATTGTTCTTGTTAAATTAAAACAAATTCGAACTATTTCAAGAGCTTTATAGTTTGTTCATAGTGTGTAGGTCAAGGATATTATCATTATTTTCCACACGAACACTATAAACACCATATCAATCAGTAGTTTGCTCTGAAAGTAATGAAAACGTATATTGTATAACTAACAAAAATGCAATGATTTTATAATTAAAATTTCTTTATTCCATTGGGAACAATTTGAGTCACAAAGTCATTAAACGAAAATCTTTAAGAGCTAATCGGAACACCAAATCAGTCAACGCATGTAATTCATGTAATTATTATGTGAAAATTTTGGTACATTATCTATTTACTTTAATTTACATAAGCCCTAAAATATGTACCATTTAACCATTTATGAGAATTTTTACAATTACCTTCTATTCATTCTATTTGTAAAAATTTTATTTTAAGACAAAATAAAATTTTGTCTTAATAAACTGATTGGTTCTGAAAAGAAATAATTTTGGATCATTCAAATCATGTGTTTTATTAAAAAACGCAACAACTTAACGCATTGCTAATCATTTTTTGTATGGTTAATTTCAAAAAAAGATAAAATATAGTTGCCATACCACAATTACGTAATTCCTCAGCCTTCTCCCCCTTAATTGGAAATAAGGTGTGGGAATTTTTTATTGCAAAATTTATTTTGCTATTTAAGTTTCTTTCTATTACGACAAGCAGTTGATTTTCTAAAATACATATTATCGTATATAAGTATACATAAATTCATTTTAGTTTTCATCTGACTCATTTTTAATTGAAGAAAAAGAAGAACTGCAAAAAGTTAGAAAGAAAAATTAAATAATTTTCAATAAAATGGAGAAAAAAAAAATTATTTTCGATCTTAGATAAACTTTTAGTTTTCTGTTGTTGTTGTTCTTCTTCTTATTGTTTTGAGAAATTTTCATTTTATTGTTCTTCTTTTGAAAATCTTAATTGCAACATTAATTAGAAAGCATTTGTGACGATTAAAAGCAATAATAAAAAAAGAAAAAATTCGCCATTTTATAAATTTTTTATTTTTCCTGTTCTTTTCTTTATTTTGACTTTGTTCTTATTGAAAGTTCACAAAAGTTTTTCATAATTATTTTTTTTTTTTTTATTTTTGATTGAACTAAGAAGGCAGTTGTGTGAATTAGGGTTGATAGAAATTATGCTTGAGAAAACAGGTTCAATGGAAGCTTCTATATGAAGAAATTTATTATTGTACTGAATTTATTATTGGGACACAAATTAATGCTATTAAAATATTTATTCGTTGTTATAGTTTTTGTTTCGTAATATCGGAAAATCTTAATATTTTTCAATAGATTAAAAATGTTGGTAAAAGTTATCCAAGTCACTTTATTGGATAACTTTTACCAACATTAAACTCCGTCACTTAATAGTAAATATTCCGTAAAGGTGAGGCAACTCTGATCTGATCATCATAATATTTTGCTATGATTTTGCTTTGTAACAAATATTAAAAATTTGCATTTCGCGTTTTGGGTGTTTCCTTTATTGCAAGTGAATTGTACTGCTAATAAATAATTGTTATTGCTACTATTAGAGAATTATTTTATAAACAAGAAAATTGCAATAGAATTTTTATATGAAAACAATTTTGTAAAAAATTTTTCCACATTCTCTTACAGGTAATTACCCAGATTGCAGACCATCTGACATGAAATGTTTGGCAAAAAATAATCGTAAGTCATTCCTTATTTATTTGGTTATTATTACAGATGTCATCGTCAAAAGTAATGTAATATTGTCCTTACACAAATTTTTTTAGGTATTTTTGCAAATTCACGAAATTCTGAAGAAAATTATTATGTAAAAAGTACTGGCGAGGGAATTGTTTGTGATTGCTTAGAAAGCTGTTATTCAATTCATTATAATTATGAAGTGAGAGCTATAAAGGATTTAGTGTAAGTAAATTTAATTTAAAATATCGCATGTTTATATTTAGAAATGTTGTCACTTAAATAATTTTTTTTTCTTGTGCATATAAAAATCAAATTAATAATCCATTTTTCATTTTATTTAATTATTTTATATTCTATATATACAAACATTTTATATTGTACATATTACATATATATTTTTTAATATTATTAGTCATCCAAATGACAGTAATGCAATTATTTTGGATATCTACTATCGTCATTCAAAAATTCAACAGTATAAAACATTTTTGGTCTACAACTGGCTTGATTGGTTGGGTAAATAGTAGTTTAAAAAAATATATATAGAATTTATGTATATTTGCTTGTAAACGCGTGCTTGTTAATAATCACAAATTCTAGTATAGTATAAGGGAACTAGCAAAACTCTACAGTTTCGTGAAATAATAGGAGCATATGAAAGAAAAATATTGATTTTTATTGTACAAATATTAAGTTTTTTTTTAATGGAAAATAATAGACAGCTTTGGAATGGTTCAAGGACAATATTTATTTTATATCAAAAACATTTCACGGTAGTTATTTTGTGGTGGCTGTAATTTGTTTATAAATAAAATTTTTTCCTTTTTTTTTTAATCAATAATAATGTTATTGAATTAATATATGTAAAAATTAATGTAATTATATGTAAAATGTATTTTTAATTTAAATTAAATTTATCAATCAAGTTGATGAATCTCGGTCAAGCACAGTAGTTATATAGCTAATGGAATCTTAATTCGATTTATACGTTATTGTATGCTATACATATAGTTGCTATACATATAATATCTGTTTAAAACATTTAATGGATTGGGAAATATTATGAAAATATTAAATAATAATAATTAATAAAATTTAATCTTAATCAACTATGGGAACCTATACTTGGCTGTGATATTGCTCTAACAAAAACTAGCGAAATTTACAGGACTAATACCAAATTTAATTTGATGAAGTTGTGTTAAGTAGTAATAAATATTCTCCCCTCGTTACAAAACATAATAATGAAAAATCTTAAACACGATAAAAGCTCGTCTATGTTTTGTCTGAATACTAGATTTTATATTAAAATTTCAAGCATCCGGGTTTGAAAAACATTTTTTTCGTATTTCAATTACGAAATTTTTTAATATGTGATTTCCGTTTTCAGTTATATAAGAATTTGATTCTTCAATCTTTGTTATCGCACTCAAATCGTGTAAAGGCTTTTTGTTACTTCACTGCTCAGATCACACCCACAATTGCCTCATCTTATTGCGACTACGATCTCTATTAGCGTATTATTTTCAAAAAACTGTGATAAGAAAATATTCAAGGCTTCTTTTGTTTCAATAAACCTCATAAAACTTTTAAAATATTTTACATTTTAATTTTCTTCGTAATAACTGTGATTAAAACTTTTTAAATGATACTTTGTATTATTTTCGATTTGATAATTTTCTCAATAATAACTTGATAATTTTACTTTAGTTTCTTTTTTTTTATTATATTCAAAAAAAAAAAACAAAATTTGATTTTCTTAGTAGAATAAGGACGCCTAATTTTTAATTTCATTCTTTTTAATGAGAATTAGACACAAAACTTAAATTTTATGCTAAAATTATTTTCTATTTTACAAATTTTCGCCATCATAGACTATAAAGTCTCATGGGACAAGACCCATAAAAAGGAAAAAATCCGAAATACAATTTCATGTAAAAAAAAATAGAAAAAGAATCTAGGAAGTGGCTTGTAAATGAATATAAAATCCCATAAAAACTACAAAAAGTTTTTAATAGTAACACAAAAGAAAAATTACTACAATACAAAACGAACCTCTTTTCTACTTTATATATGTATGTAGAAAAAGGGTAAGTTAAAGATGTAAAGTAGGATGAACATTTAAAAATAAAGCGATTATTCACAAGGGAATCAATTTTGCGTTCTAAATAAAAGTATGGTCCTCCTATTATTCTATATAATATTGAAAGAACTAAATATATTTAAAAACGAGTATCGTGTAAAACATGCGGTCTTTGTTCTCATTTAAAATTTGTTTTTTTAACTTTTATTAATGGTTTACCATTATTTGTATTCTTAAATATTGGGTAAAGCAGATACTTCGAAATTTGAATAAGTTTTCAATTCAAAGAATTATTTTGAAATTTTTTATGTTTATACTTTCCTATGTACATATACGTATAATAAATTTGAATAGGAATAATAGTTCCTGTCCTATTTAAATAAAAAAAGTCAGAAGTTTTAAACCGGTTCTTTTGATAGGATTTTCGATTTTGTGCTTTGAAATAGTAGATTGTATACGTTCCTTCTCGTCTGTCCGAAAATATTGGAAATATCCTGCGTGGCTCCTGAAACTTTCTGCTTAAAAGCTGTATAAAAGCTATTAACAGGTGAATATAAATGTATGGTGTGTTTGGCTTTTGGTACTTTCGTTAGTTTAAATGCAAGAATTGTGATCAAATAAAAAACGTCCTTAATTTTTCTTTAACGTTATATTACACGTGTAGAGAACAGTGCCGAGTGGTATATAAACAGAAATGTCTTGCCTCTTCTATCTAACATGATGTATTTAAATAATGATAATTTTACACCAAAATTGTACTTTAAAAAATCTTTGCCCTATCGACTAAAGCTTACATTTTAGAATATTTTCTGCCCGCGAATGAAAATAGGTTCAAAGTTCACACAAGTATCATTTTCTTGTATTCTATAATACGTACTGTATAAATAAAAGAAAAACTGTTAACTATCACTGTAAAACAAAGTTCTTGTTTTGCTATTAATTTTAATTTTTTGACCTACATATTTTCTTTACTATGTAGTTGTAGCGTATTTGTTTTGCTATCCTTTTTTAAGAGAAAGTTGTTATCTTACGGTGAAATAGAATATCATAATAAAACTAAAATATTTTTATTATACGAGTATAGCATTAAAGGTAGACATTTCAGTTTTTGTTTTTTTGGGTACGATTTATTTTTCATGTTTTTCGTGTTAAATTACAATGTGATTTTAACTTCCTCCTCGGGGAAAATTCGTTATATAGTTCTTAAATAGGGAATTTCTAGTATAATTATAACAATTTTATAAACAAATATGATTTAACAAATAATTTATGAATGAGAATAATGTTACAAAATCTAGGTATGCCTATGGCAAATTCATGTATGATTCGAAAGAGGAGCTTTTATTAGAACAAGAAAAAAAAATGTCCTTAAAAATAATGATTTCGAAGAATTTGGGTATTTACCTTTATTAATGCTATGGAATATAAATATTTATTGAAAGTAAAAACGCCATTTGAATTTGAGATTTAAAGTAATTGTTATGAACATAAAAATAATTTTTAAAACACAAAATATCCTTGTTAATACGAAATTTAGCTTATATATAGTATGTTACACTAATTGTACTTACCTTATTCTTTCTTTTTCTTCTGTTATACTTCCACTGGGAGCATAGACCTTCCAAAACAAAATCTGTTAGAGGCCAGTCTTTTTATTTCTGCCCTTATCATGTTGGCTAGGCGATTTTATTTTTTCTTGCTTTTTGTTTGAATAGATCTTGATGGGTTGAAGTCCAGAAGTCAATGTTGCTTATATTCTATTTGAGCTAGAATCTTCGACAGATAAATAATTTTCGATTCAATTTATGAACACCTGCAGTTTATTTGTGTATTTGTTCTCTTCCAGTCATGTTTCGGCGTTATACATTAGGAACGATTTTACACATAATATGTTGATTATTTTCTGTTTGTATTCCTACATCTAGGTGTGACGATTACCAGATTGACTCGCCAGGTTTTTGATATTACATACCGGCAGGGTATGGTTGTGTTATTCGAAATCTTGTACTTCGGCTTGGAAGCTTGCTCTTTGATGAGTTTATAATAACTTTTCATTTGATTGATTTTTTGCTAATCTATATTAAATTTTTAAAATATTTATTTAATTTTTTCATAAATTATTTTAAAAAATATATTTTTGTTGAATTGTTCTTTTTTATTAATAAAAAATTTTTATTTTAGTTTACTACGGAGGAATTGCTGCTTTGTTTCTGGGGTGTTCACTGATGAGTATTGCTGAATTATGTTACTACCTCGTTATAGGGTTTTGGACATGGATAGAACAAAGAAGTACTCCATTTAATAATGGAAATTATAAGAGACAGAATCAAAAACTGATGAAAAATAAATTCTGAGGAACATACAAATTTTTCAATGATTTACTTTTAATTACTTTAATATACTTGCAGAACTACTTTGTAGGATATAGAGAAATTTTTAATATTTGTTTTTTATGGGTAGTCTAAAAGTCCAAAAATTTGTTGACATTAGTATAATGAGATTCTCTACGAAGTTATTATCTCTTTCTGTTACCAAAATTTTAGTTTTCGACTACTCTGATGTTTATGAAACTATAAGTAATTTTTATAATACAATAGAGTGACGAAAATGAGATTTTTTACTAATTGGAAAGTGGTGGTGAAAACTTTACTTACGAATTGGAAGGCTTATTTGATATTTTATTATTTTATTAAGTTTTATCTTCCGGTGCATTCTTATAGGTTTTATGCCATGAGTTTATAAATGTTAGAATAATTCAATTATTTGTGGATCTGCTGTACCTTTTACATATACAATTCATGTGTACATTTAAAAAAAATATTTCTAAAATGATATTGAACTAAAATAAATTATTTCTTAATGTTTTGTAAAGATAAAACTATATTTAAAAATTTTGTTGAAATTTATTTCGATCTCTATTCGATTTCTATTTATGGAAATTCCGGAGGTTAAGCCAATAAATAACGAATAGAAAACTGTACAAGTACAATATTACCTAAAAATCAAAGGACATAAAATTCATTTGACAGAGTAATTTTTATAAATAGAAATTTTTATTTTCTTAAAATAAAATAATCTTTTTACAATTTTTTTGTGGGAGTCCTATGTAAAAAAAAATGTTAGAGAGATGTTATATGTTTTTTTTTTGTTTGACAATTGCATTCTATTTATGTATGACGTCCACGATATACGTATGTATAGTGTAGTTAAATCCAGTAGCTAAATAAACTTTTAAAGGTATTATTATTGTATAAATGCATTTACCAACAGCCAGTGTATAAAGGACATGAAAGTTAAAGTTATTGCATAAGTAAATTTTTGTCAGAGTTTCATTAGGAAAAAGGAGTTACTTTTTTATTATCAATGTTATCCATATGTTTTAATACTTTTGTTTTCAGAGTTCGCAAATGAGTATACCTTAGATTTTTTCAACAAAAATTGAGCAGAATGCGCTTGTTATTCTCATTGCAGTATGCGGCCGTGTACTTTTACCCATGGAAGTAAAAGCTAAAATTTTATAAACAAGTAGATGTTTGCAAGTTAAAGCTGTGCTTTATTAGAAAGTTTAATACTTTTCCCATTTAAAATTATCGCTACTTAAATACCCTTCAAAATTGCCAATCGTTGAAAAGTAGGTACGGGTTACACTTTATAGAGAAATACTGCAGCCGAGCGTCGGAATGATAAACTGACTAATGCAATTGGCATTATCAAACCATTTCCCTTTTTTTAGATAATGTACTAGTATTTGCTTGCTATTCTCATACATTGAGCTAAAATTAACTTTTTAGTATCGAACTTTTTTTATTATAAATAAATTGGAATGGCCTGTATATAAGCTTATAAGCCCTCCCTATCTACTGTTTTATTATTTTCTGTGGCAGACTGTTCATTTCCAACTAGAAGTTATTTTCTAAGGCACTCTTTTAAATTCAAAAAGCTGTAATGCAACAGGTACGTCTTTTAATATGAAATGTAAAATCAACTAAAAAGGCTAAAGTCTTTGCATTGTTTTCGTACATTTAACCGGATGCACGTTGGGCAGAATTCTTAGTAATGAGCAAATGCTAGAGAAATTCTATTTTTATTGTAAAAATTGTCAGAAAATAAATAATGTGAATGCATACGAATATAAAATCGACAACATAACGGCTGTATTTTTGTTTTACTTGTATGGTACATTAGGGTTAGTTATATAGTTAAAACTGGTTATATATTACTTATACTTTAAGGGTTAACAAAGCTTAGTAATACATCAATGCTTTAAAATCATATTTTAGATATTGTAGTTTACTCATGTAAGTTCCAGGTTCTATATTGTTTGCAATCAAGTAGAAGATCGAAATTAAATTATAGTTTTCAACATTGTTACAATAAATATTCCGTAAATTGCTGCATAGAATGTATTTTTCAATAAAATTATCCTTGTTCTATTATTGTTCTAAATATTTTCATAAATTTAGCCGTGATTCATTTTTTTTATGATTTTCTTTTGGTATATAATCCAATATTATTTTTGTATTATATAATGATATTTTACCTAATGTTAAATTGGGTTACTTTAATTTTATTGTAGTTCTCTTAATATCAATTTATAGAATTGCGGAAATAAACGGAAGCTAAGCTATTTTCCTTCCCGTTTTGAAAAATGCCACGAACGGACCACCAAGCAAAATATTTTCAAAATAATTTATTATACCCTACACATTTTTCTGTGCGAACATCTGTGTTTTGATGTCATTTTATTATTATAACACCTTGGCCCTAACTAAATCTCTTAAAGGTAAATAAAATTTGAAAATTAATTAATATTTTAGAACATAGTGTTTATCTGATTTGTTTTTACTTTAATCTTGTCTACTAGTAAATATATGGGGAATAGAATGCTACGGTTCTTATACAAAATACATATTTAAAATCCTTATATTTTAAAACTTATGTATAAATCACAGTTATTATTGTAGGAGCCAATATTTTTGAGGATAGGTACATGAAATTGTCAAATTTAGCATTAATATATTCAGTATATGGTAGAATCCTCTTGTAGATTTTAAGATTTTGTAAATATAAGTATAATATTTTTTCTTACATGATATTTTTAGCACTTTTCCAAAAATTTTTTGAAAAAAAGTGCTTATTAGTTTCACTCTGTCCGTCCGTCCGTTCGTCCGACCGTCCGTCCGTGCGTCCGTCCGTCCGTCCGTCCGTCTGTCCGTGTGTCTGTTTACAAAACTTCTACACCCTTGAAGATATAAAGCTGAAATTTTGTACGTATATAGATCTTTAATAGAAACTTATTTCCGTAGAACAAAATTTTTACCTATCTCCCCCCCTCTAACCCTAAAAATGGCCTTTTTTAACTATTTGTTGCAATGAAACCATAAGCTTTTTTGAAATTTTGCAAACCCATAAAGGCAGCGACTTGCTTCCCCTAGCGCGGTATACTATAGTTAAACTTTAGAAAAACAAAATGGCCGTTCAAATTTACCGTTATCTAAAGTCTTTTTTTTCCAAATTTTTGATTTCATTTTTCTTCTAGACCCCAGGCTGTAGAAGCTTGAAATTTTAGGGACTTATAGACATTAACAAATAGTTCATTTCGTTAGAAGAAAATTTTTTTCCATCTCCACCCTCTCTCAAATTTTTGCCTCTTGAAATTTGTAAAATTTGAATTTTTGGCGCCTTATATTTCCGAAACCGCATACGTTTTCAAATTTCTATAAACATAAAAAGCTAGCGGTAAATTCCATGACATTAAAAAATGTAATTATTTTTCTTAACTCACATAATTACCCCCTTATGTTAATCCCTCTATATATTAATTTTTGCTTTATTTCAAAGACTGCATGAATGCACCATCCTAAATATATGCAATCCTAGAAATAGTTAAATATGAATGAAAATAATTTTAATAGTGTGATAGGTATACATAGACTGTATTTAAAAGCAGAATTTTCACTTGTTGAAGGGAAAAGTGCTACAATACAAACCATTGGTTTGACCCAACTTTATTTAAAATATTTAATTTATGCTAAATTAAATAATGATTAATTTATGTTTCTTGTTGCAAATTTTTGTGTCTGTTGCAAATTAGTAGTTTTAGTCGTGTGTGAAGATATTTTAAAAAATTGAAAATCATTAAAACTTAAAGCAAAATTGAGCATAGCTACAGATTAAAAATGAAATATTTTTTATGACTGCAAATATTCCTACAGATGCAGAAATATTATATTAGCACAAAATATCATATGTTGCTAATTAGTTATATTGTAATAGAATTTTCCAAGTTTTTATAAGAAATTAGCCATCAATGTCAAAAAAGTGGTGCAAATATTTTGTGGTAGCAGAAACGAATGTTTTACCTTGGTTTTGACAATTTTTTTGTGACATAATTACACACTTGAGTCTTGTTGTTTTTTTTACATTTCTTTTGCGAATGCCTAAATCAATTATTAAAGAGGATAAAACAATTCTTTTTTTAAATGCTTTTAATTTTCACTTAGCCGATTTTTTTCCTAAAATCTGTAAACAAAAAACCTTAAAAATTGTAATATCCATGCATGTATGTTTTAAAAATTTAATTAATTCCTCCGAAAACAGAACTCCATTATTTAAATAATCTCTTTTTCTCTAAAATCGGTTAAACATTTTTTGTGTTAAAAAAAGAGCAATAACAAATCAAAGGAATTTTTATTAAAGAGTCGGAACAAGTGAAAAAAAATCTGGAAAAAGAAACACGGATTTTAAATACCCAAATTTGTTATTTAAATTGTTTCCATTCCTTATTTCGTTTTTGAGAACCTAATTAGACATAAAAATTCAGAAAAAAAAGTGAATTAACATAAAAAATAAACCGAAAAGAAAAAATCTGTGAGAGTGTGAGTGAAAAGAGAATTAAAATAAATAAAATGAATTATCCTTTTTCTGCTTTGTAGAAATTTGTTTAAATCTCGGTTTCTTTTACATTTTAATTTTAAAAAAAGTAAGGTTTAGTTTTGTTTTATTATAATCGAATAGGAATCACTAAAATTGAAAGAATTTTGAAGCAATTCCGGCAAAATTGTAAAATGTCTTCGTTTGGGAAATTTTTATAAATTCTCGTGATATTTGTAAAGTCTCAAAAATGTTAAATTGGCATTCGTGTTATTTTTGTGTCAATAAAAATTAGTTATTTTTTTATTTCTAGAACAAGGTCGGTACAAAATTTATAAACAAATAATAACTTTATGGTTCAATTCGAATTATTGCTGAAATGTAAGAATATAGTTCTTGTACTGCCTTTAATTATTACATTCTCTCTTATATCACATTCGCTCTTTATATGTTGTCAATGTCATCTTTAATAGACCTAAGT